GGACTCGCACAGGACCCCGGCCCGAGTGACAGACGCTGAGCATCACCTGGACTCGCACAGGACCCCGGCCCGAGTGACAGACGCTGCCGCCCCGCACACCACGATGGCAAACAGGTGTCCAGAAAGACCAAAGGTAACACAGGCCCCCGCATGGGGTGGTTTGTAAAACTCTCTCCAGATGGCCTATAATGCGTCCCTACTGCTTTTTAAACTATGAAAATAAAAACCTGGGTACGGGAAGTACAGCAACGTAAAACCCATTTCCTCTCATTTCCAAAGAGACCTGAGGGATTCCTCGGCATCCGGCATCAGAGGAACGTGGGGTGGAGGGGATGGGCCAGGCGGGGACCACGGCTCAGGAGCGGGGACACCTAGCTGACTTGTGCCTGGAGAAAAGGGCTCAGGGCTGGCCTCACACCAGCCAAGCTCTGCACCTCCTGCAAGGCTCTGGCTGGGTGGGTTCTCACCATCTGGGATTCTCTACAGGCCCTGGAGCTGGGGCTGCCTTCCTTCCCAGTTGAGCTCCAGCAAGCCAATGAGGTGGCAGCAGCAGGATAGGGGACAAAGCACCGAGGGTCCAGCCCTGCACCATCAGAACACAATGCACGCCTCGGCGAGCCAGGGGCGCATCCCTCCAGCCGCCAGCTCACCCCAACCCTGGGCTCCTCCTGCCGGCTACTCATGTCAGCCTGTGGTGGGGGGTCCAGACACAGCCCACCCAAACGAGGGGCTCCCAGAGGCCCGGCCCGTCCCTGTCCCTCCTGCTCCCCCAGGCTCCCTGGGCCCTTCAAAAGGATGAACCATCCATGCTCCTGTCAGCTCAGGACCAGACACCAGGACTCCCCACCCACCCTACCCGAGGACGGGTCCAGGCTGCGAGGGGAGCCATGCTGCATCCCTGTGCTGCACTGGAGTGTGGCACATCCTACCCCAGAACTACCGCATCTTGATTACATCTGCAAAGTCTCTGTTCCAAGTAAGGTCACGTTCACAAAATCTGGGTGGACGGGAATTTGGGGAGGTTAATCCCCCATCTGTCAGATGGAGATGGAGGGCAGTATGGACCATTGTCTCGGACACAGAGGAGACCGGATCTCGGACACCAAGTGCGACCCAGAGCAAAGCTTTCCATGCAGAGCCCATGTCCAGTGGATGCCCTCTCGACAAATCCTACCTTCACCTTGCATTCTGGTTGCTGCTGCCATGTGTCCCCCGGGCCCCACCAGCCCCCCACTCCCCAACCCTACCTCCTCAGATGCCCTCCACAAGCACCCAGAAGCCCAGCCCAGGCAGCTCAGGGCAGCTCCCGTAAGCCCCCCACCCCAAGGGGAACCAGCTGCTCAGCGGGATCCGCCACCACCCGGCCCTGCTGCCGTCGGAAGGAACCCCCTCCCCGTACCTCCACGTGGAAGCAGACGCTTGGGGAAAGGCCCCCTGGCCGTGGCTATTCCAGATCCCTGCTCAGAGCCAGGGCATTCTACAAGGACTCACGGGGACCATGTGCGACGGGGGCACCTGGTGCTGTGGCTCCAGGCAGCACCCGCCAGGCTCTGGGTGCCCTGCACGCAGGGCTGAGTCCAGCAGAGCTGGCCCGGGGACACAAAGCACGCTGCTCTGGAAACCGCTGAATAGCTTCTGGACACACAACGGCGGCAGTGTCTAGGGAAACTGGACTTGGAAACCACAAAGGACTTTATCTCCCTTCCCAGCCAAGATTTTTAAAAGAGTGGTTCCTGGTCTCCGGCGCTTGCAGCGTCCCAGCCAATCTGCCTCGACCCGCAGCACACACCACTCCCCGGCCTGGCTTCATCTCCCGATTATCTATGGCTCTCCTGCTGATCTGAGGACAAACAATGTCCACTTTCCCACAGGATGCCGTCCCGTCCTAACCTTCTTCCTGGGGAGTCACAGACGCTGAGAACTGCGCGCCTCCCCCCTCCCCCCAGGCCAGTCCCAGAGACAGCCAGGTCCTTTCCATCCTCTGGGAAGACAGCCCCGGACCCCGCGGTCAGAATGGCCTAGGATGGCAGCTACAGACTCTGAGGCTCTGCAGGGCAAACAGGAGGGACGGGGCGGAGGCGCAGACTCAGTTGTCCTAATCAACGCCCAAAGGCCTTGCCCCCAGAACCCCAGTGCACACGCAACTCCCATCCAGCCCTGTGGGGCCCTGTGCTGAGCACTCCCCGGGAGCAGTCTGACACTGGAGACCACTGACCCTGTCCCCAACCCCATGCCAGGCTCAAGACATGGCTCACAGTGGATGACCCCCAGGTTTTCCCAAACACAAGGCTTGTGTGGGATCCACTTCTCTCACCCCAGATTCACAGCTCAGTCCTGCCAGACTGGGCACAGGCAGCAGGACCCCAAATGCTCCCGGCGTCCACACCCAGATGTCCTGCTCCCGACCTGGCACCTGCTGGCTTCCCTGGGAGCTCTGCCGGCCGGCTGGACATCTCACTGGTAGCTTGGTTCTGCCTAGCTTAGCGCGGAGCTGGAGTCTCAGCTCACCCTCCCGCCGGATGGCATGTGTATCCATCAGCTGCTCAAGCCACAGCCCTTGAAGGAGCCCTCAATCACGGGATCACTCCATGGCCACCCTCTCCAAACCAGGCCCCACACCGGTCTGCCTCTCCACCCTGACCCCACCCTCCTGCTCAGCTGGGCCTGGGGCGGAGGGGCCCACAGCACCTCATGGAGCCCCTTCTCCACGTGGCAGGAAACCAGACCTCCCAGCGCTTCCCCTTCCAGTCCCTGGGGGTCCTCTGGCCACTGCGTTTGCTCCTACTATGGGGCCCAGCACCTCTGGTTCTGGGGCGTCTCCCATCCCAGAGCCTTTTTCTCCAAGTACCCCACCTTGAAAGCCATTCCTGGAACTTCCAGCTAACTCCCTTGCTTGGGATTTGGGCCCCCAGCCCCACGCTGTAAGAACACGGGCCCCAAGGGAAGAGGCAGCCGCGGCTCTTCAGGTGATGCCCCAGCAGGCCTGGCCCGTGCTGGGCTCACAAACCCTCATCAGGCAAACGAAGGAATGATGCACAAAGGCGGGGCCGTGCTGAGCAGACGAGCAGCCAGAAATCCGGGGCCCTACGCCGGCTCCGAGCCACCCAGCCACAGCTGCGAAGGGCTGTCCTCCCAGAGAGCTCTCAGAGCAAAGGGCCGTCCACGGACTTTGCTCAGGAGCCCTGCTGGGGTTTCCAGTCCCTAAATCCATAAACACTTGTGGAGAACTTAACGCCAAGTTTTCAACAACCTGGGTGTTTCTACGGGAGTGGGGGGGAGGCCTGAATCTCTTCCCACGGGCAAGCATCTTCAGGGGCTGTCTGTCCACGAAGGTCAGGCCAAAACCCCCAGTGCAGTGAGCCAGGGGAGGATAATGAAGGCCCAGGTCCCACGAGCTCAGTGACCCTGACCGATGGCCTGGGTGGCCCTGGAAAGTCAGAGAGAGCGGGAGAGCTGGGAGGGCTCGGTGTGAGCTGCCACCCCCTCTTCTGTGACCTGGGATCACGCCCCCGGACCGGAGAGCTCATGACCGCACAGGGAGTGGCCCCAGGGACCCGTGTGCAGAGATGTAGGTGGGACGGCGACTGCAAACCGTACAGATATACAGACGCATGCACATGCTCACAAATACCAGTAAAACGTGCGGCACTCCTCGTGGGGAAGCCGAGGGGCCGGTGCGGCTCACGGATGTTCTGACTTTTCCTGAACACCCCCCTCCCTTGTCCAGCACGATCCTAACGGAAGATGAGTACGGCGCAGACAGGAACACCGGCTGACATTCCGTTTACGTGAACAAGACAAGGTGCACGTGGGAGGCACGCATCAGAGCCCCACGCGTTGGTCGCGGGCGGGGGAACCCCTGCTGAAAGGCAGGGCAGCTTTCTGAGAGCGCAGGAGTGTTGCCTCGGCTTTTCTGTGCCCCTCACGGTGAGTGGCTACAACGTCCCACACGTGGCTTTTCCATCACTTGATGAAGCCGAGACAATCAACAAAATGAGAAGCGAAGCCCCGATTCGTAGCATCTGCCCGTTTCTGCTCCCACCGTGGCCATTTTCAAGCCACCAGAGAGACGTGCAGGCGTGGGCGCGTGGTTGGGGCCGATGCAGCGGCCGCGGTGACCCAGGATTTCCACCTTCCAGACACAACGGTCGCAAGCCACCTCGCGACCACAAAAGTAGTGACGTAATTCAGAAGGGAGGGATTTCCAGTGAATACCTTTGCTGCGAATTCACCTAACTGTAAGTTTACAAGCTTTCGTTTTTGTTACTGGCCAGCTCCCCAAATCCCTGCAAATGTCAGCAGTGCCTGCGAGCTGGTACGAGCTGGTTCCAGCACACCAGCCCTGCTCCCTCCCCTCACACTGCATGGCCACACAAGAATGGGGCTCAGGAAACACCGGGGAACCCAGCGCTCCCACTCACCCTTCTTCCCCCGCAGGGCTCAGGGACAGAGGCACGAAACAGGAGCCAAGGTCAAAATGCAAAATTCGAGCCCCTGAGAGGGCCAAAGGGATCAAAGACAGTCCTGGGAGGTGGGAACCAGACAGCGTGGTCACTGCCTGGACCCCACCCCCCATCCTCACCATCCCAGCCCCCTCGGGTCCCCACAGGAAGTGCCAAGACTCTCCCCCCGCCGACCCCCTGGGACCCCGCCAGGGACATTCCTGCGGTCTGAGGCATTCCCAGCCACCGGGTGACCACTTCACTCTTCCCACCTCTGGCTCGGCACCACCTGCCCATCCAGCCAGGCGGCTTCCACCCTCCGTGAGGTCACCCCCACTCGGGCGTCCTGCAGCACGATGGTCCACACAGCAACCACAGCTGAGGGGCGCAGTCAGGGGACGTGCGCCTGTCCAGGGCAGTTCCCACGGCAGAACCCACTGGGAGTGGCCTGTGTGCTGAGTCCGGACCCGAGCCACCTCTCCTCACCATCCGGGCGTGAGTGCAGTGGTCCCGAGTGCCCAGAACAAGATGCCACCTGCCACGTTGCGTGACCTTGTGTGGGTCACACCCCCTTCCCCTGTGCCCGGTCTCTGGCTCTGAGAGCATGTTGATGGTAGCCCCTCATTCAGCTGTGCGTGGAATGACCCCATGGTCGTCACCTGGCGAGCAGCAATAATGAGGGCAAAACCCCAGATCCTACTTTCCAAAACCACATTCAACAAATGTCACTCTCCCTGCACGCTGTCACTTTACCTGGTGGTGGTGGGCACGGTGGTGACATCACTGCTTGACAGATGGGGGAAGCCACGGTAAGAGGGTCCAGGACACCCGAGACCACCCCCCACCCCCAGCCATCAGCAGCTTCCACACCCACAGGTGGGAAAGGAAGGGCCGGAAGGTGAGCGGAGCCTGCAGGCAGTGGGAAGCAAGGGCCACAATGCCCAAAACACCAAGGGAGGGTTCAGACCGGACCCCGGCGGGGGCAGGCAGCCGGTTCAGAGAGGGCGCAGCAGCCCCCGGCCAGCACTCCAGCACTAAGGCTCAGCCCTGCCACCTGCCCTGCACAAACCAGGCCGTGCCCTTTGACCCCAGCTGGAGACCAGCCCCAAGGATCAACAGTGAGGTCTACAGAGGCAGGCCAGCCAGGCCAAGCCCAGCCCTCCTGGTCCTTGAAGTGGCATTAAAAAAAGAGCAGTACCTGCTAGAGGTGTGAGCCGGGCCCACCTGAGGACTTGTCTCCAGGCCCTTGGGCCTCAGCAAACACACACACCTGGAGAGGAAACCCCAGGCGGGGGCTTGGAGCACCTGCTCTGGAGTGCTCACCAGGCCCCAACACAGGGGAGGACAAACCCTCAGCGCTGTGCTTTCACTGTCCCCAGGCCTCCTGTGCACCCCAAAACCTGTGCAGGGCCCCAAATCGCAGGCAAGAGTGACAAGCTCCCCCACCCTAGGTGTCCTATGTCCCAATCACAATGCTGTTAAACCAAATGACAGGAAGGGAAACTGAGGCTTGGGGAAGCAGCATAAGACAGAAGTGGCACATCAGAAACAGAAGCCAACATCACTGGACTCCAGAGCCCGTGCTTGCCCTAACCCCAGACAGACCCAGCCATCCCACCCTCCCTAGCACATGCCTCTATTAATACATCCCTCACTGAATGACAGCTCCCAGGCCCCTCTGCCTAGCATATTGAGTAGGGAGCCTGGCAGAGTGGCCACACTGATGTTTATTTAAACAAAACAACGCTAGCAAGAAAATCTAACGTTTAGGAGCAGGTAGACAAAAACCTCTGTGTCATGTAAGCAAATAGAATAAGCTACTAGAAACGCACACAAATTCATTTCAATTTCTCTCCATCACTCTTTACAAGGACCTGAGAAGATCCAGCCAATGAGACAGCTGGTAGGAAGCACCTTCCAAATTCCGGGCACTAGGCATGACTTCGTGCCATGGCCCTGGCCCAAGTTCCTGAAAGCAGAAAGGAGCGTGGCTCGCAGCTGTCTGAAACCAGGCAGCTCTCCAAAGGCATTGCACCATTAAGACACTGCAGCAGGCAAGGCGCGGGCCGGGCGAGCCTGTTCTGCAAGGGGCCAGGTAGGAAATGTCGGGCTTGGCGGGCCACACGGCCCATCCTAACTTCTCAATTCTGCTGTACCACAAAATGGGTGTGGCTGTGGGCAAATAAAACATTATTTTTTTTTAAACATTTTATTTATTTATTTGACAGACAGAGAGAACGAACACAAGTAGGCAGACAGGCAGGCAGAGGCAGAGGGAGGAGCAGGCTCCCTGCTGAGCACAGAGCCCAATGCGGGGCTCGATCCCAGGACCCTGGGATGGTGACCTGAGCCGAAGGCAGATGCTTAACCATCTGAGCCACCCAGGCGTCCCCAAATAAAACATTATTTACAAAAGCAGGTGGCAATGGGCTAGGTTTGGCCCGTGGGCCATGCTCTACTGCCCCTGCTCTTACAGCAAGATGCCCAGCAGAACAAGAACTCTCAGAAAGGTCACAGTACTTACTGGCCCACTAACAGGGAACCTAGGCCCTCGCTAAGCACCAGGGTCCCACTGCCAGTGGCCTGAGCATCACAGGCTTGTGCGTGGACCTTGCCCCCATCCAGTCTTCTTAAGGAAAGGGGTGAGGGGCAAGGTGCTCTCCATGGCGAGGGTGGGGCAGCCTGGACAGTCTCTAGGCTCCCTGGGGCCTGAAGGAGCTTGGTGAGGGAAACCGACCCGTCTCCGTCCACCTGAGTCGTGGGCCAGGGGCTTCTCCCCACATCCCTCATAGCCCATCTGAGGCAGGGAAGCTGGAAGGAGAGGAGCTGTGAACAGCCACGGGTGGAAGGCACTGCCCACCCTGAAGGGCCGCCCCTTGGGTCTCACTCAGGATAGTGTCCCTTGCTCTGCAGGGACAAAGAGCACAATGAAAAAGCCCTCATGACACCAGAAGCCAGCCCCAGGCCCCACCCCCTGCCTGGAACACCCCAATCTATGTTCCTGCTGAGCACTGCCCCCCTCCCCAGAGCCACTCAGCTCAATCACTCCAGACCCAACACAGCCTGGTCACCTGGCTGTCTCCTGGCCGTCACCTGCTTCTGGCAGCCAGTCAAGGAATGGGTGGGTGAGGTGCATTTTAAAGACCTTCCGGGACCCGGGCAAATCCAGCACCAGGTAAACCCACAGCTTTAAACAGCCCCTTAGGTGAAGAGCTTCTGTGCGCCACCAAACCTCCTGCCCGGAGGCCACTTTGCTTTTCCTGTTTTATCTCAGCCCAGCCCAGGCCCAGGGCTCTCCTGCCAGGCCTCTCCCCACCCCAGGCCAGGCCCCGGGATATTTACAGGCCCTCCCCCGGGTGTCAAGCACCACAGGCCACAAAGGTTTTCCGTGTTTAAAACAACACACAACGAGGAGAAGGTGGAACCCACATTTCCTGCTCAGCAGGCCAAGAAAGGAACACAACCCGAGCCGGGACAAGGATGACAGCAGAGGGGCCGGATGGAGGGCGCTCGGCAGCCCTCCCTCCACGGGCCTCTGTTACAAAACTCACATCCAGCGTAAAAGAAAAAAGAAACTAAACAAAACAAAACAAAAAAAACACCCAAACCCTCAAAGTTGTCTTTGCACCTGCCACCCGGATAACCGCTGAGCTCCAATGTGGCCGCCGGACGGTCTGGTCTTTACTCGGGCTGTCCTGGCTGGCCTGGCGGCAGGTGGGCTCTGCAGCCGAACGAGCCACTGCACATCGGCTCCAGCCCACAGCCCTGGGGACTCGGGCTGCACACCCTCACCGTGCAGCAGGGGTCACGGGGCAGAGGCCACGGAGGCAGGGGTGCAAGTCACGCGCCGCACCCTCGGGAGTCACAGCGACGAGCGATCCTGTCAACGGGTGTTTAATGAGCACCTACTGTGTACCAGACGCAGTCCAGTGCGGGAATGCAGAGGAGGCACGCTGACGGCCCAGGCGCTTCCTAACCACGGAAAGGAGGAGCCGGGTGAGCGGGGGACAGGGGGCCACGGGCCAGGGCAGGCCGCTCTGAGCTGCAGGAGCCAGCCGCGGGCTGCAGAGGGAGACACCCCAGGGAAAGGGAGCAGCACAGAGACTCACAGCAAGACGGACAGAGGAACTGGTAGGGCCGTGGGAAGCAGTGGAGGCCGGGCAGGGGCTCTGTCCATTCTGGGGCGCACCCGGGGAGCCCCCACCTGCGGCAGCTGCGCGGAGAGCCACACTGACACGGCCCATGGGCTTCACGCCTTCCCGTCCCCCCCATCCAATCCCTGCCTGCCCGCCTCTGGGAGGCTGAAGTCCTGGCTCCTGCATGCCTGTCTCTGAGCCAGGCCGGCACAAAGGACTCCGTAAACATCAGCTGCTGGGACTCCGGGGTCCTGCCTTCTACAGAGAGGAGGACACTGAGGTCCAGAGGGACTCGCAGGCATGACTGGGTGGAAGATGGTGTCCAGGCCACCGTAAGGTCCCCGTCACTCCCGCACTGCCACCCTCCCCTGGGACGGTTCACGGACCTGCCTGGGGAACCAGGGCAGCCTGGCTCAGAGCAGTCCATTTGCCAGATTCCCAAGGAAACACTCAGCCCAATTTCCAGCACCCACGGCCAGAAAATAAACACAGGGCTACCAGAGGACCCAGCAACCCCGCTTCTGGGGATACACCCAAAGTACCGACACCTGGGGCTCAAAGAGGGATGGATGGATGGATGGATGGACAAACAAAATGTGGTCTACGCATACAACGGCGTATCATTCAGCCTCAAGAACATCGGGAATTCTGACCGGGGCTACAACACGGATGAACCTGGAGGACGCTGTGCCCAGTGAAAGAAGCCAGTCACAAAGGGCCCAATTCTGCATGATTCCACTTAGATGGTCCCCAGGAGGGTCACATCCACAGAGACAGAAAGCCCATGGTGGGCACCAGGGGCGGGAGGAGGGGGACGGAGAGTCAGTGCTCCACGGGGACAGAGTTTCAGTTGGGGAAGATGACAGTTCTGGAGACAGATGGTATGATGGGCTCACACAACGTAAATGTACCTAATACCACCAAACTGCATACTCAACAATGGTTAAAATGGTATGTTTTATATCATGTAGGTTTCATCGCATTTATAAGGCATATTATATACATCATGTTATGTATTTCCCATCATGGCTACATATAAATACACAAGGAGAGATAGCCTGGGCAAAACTCTCTAAAATAATCTATAAGCCTAATGTGATTCCCCTAAAAAAATTAGAAAACGATTTTAGAGAAAGCAAAATGAGCCAAGTCTAAGGTTTACAAGGAAAAACAAACAAGCCGAATAACCTGGAAAATTCTGGAAAGCAAGAGTGATGCGGGGTGACGAGCCCTATCACGTAACAGAACGTGGTGCAGCTACAGCCATTCTGCAGGCGTGGGGGTGGCGCGTGAACAGAGAGCAGGGCCACGGAACAAACTAGAACGCACAGAAGCAGACCCAGCCCCCGTCGGGGTCAAAGTGGCATTTCAAAGCAGAGGGGAAGAGACACACTGATATCCGGGTAGCTGTGAGGAAAAAGGTAAGGTTGGAGCCACACCTTCCCAAAAGACACTGGAAGTAGCCCGGGAGCCACAGGGGAGGGTCCAGGACCTCAGACCAGACTGGGCCTTTCCAAGCAAGACATGAAGCGCAGTAAGAACACAGATTACTCTCAAAACAAATTTTTGCAAGGCAAAAACCTCCATCGGTAGTCAAACAAATGATAATCTAGGAGAAAATGTTTGCAGCACGTAGTACAAAGGATTAATCTGTCCGACGTTCATAAACAGCCCAGTAGAAAAATGGGCAAGAGATGCAGACAGCTCCCAGAAAAGGCAAACAGTTCTTAAACATATGGAAAGACAATTAATCTTCACTTATAAAGACAGAAATACAGATTGAAATTACATCGAGAAGCCCTTCTCCCTAGCAGACCGGCAGACATGCAGCACGTGGGCGTGAGGACGAGGAAGCAGGTCCCCCGCTTGGAGAGCGGCGCCCAGGGCCATTTTGCAACACCCAGTAACAGTACTATTTCATTTCCAGGAGCCTCTCACACTTGCAAAATGATGTATAGGCAAGGTCGTTTCACTGCCATGTTGTTTTTACAATAGCAAAATAGGCTGGGTGCACCCTCATGTCCACCCATGGGGGACAGTCACCCATGGGAGCCCCCAGAGTCTGAACAAGAAGTGAGGACCCCCCACCCCCCACCCTGCTGGAGACCTCGCAGCCTGGGCTGACTGCTACCTGCAGTGTGTGCAAAGCCAGCAGCCACGGAGGACCAGAGAAGAGGAAGTAGGGAGGGGGAGGGGAAGGGGCACTGGAGAGCCAGCCTAAGCTTTAACCCCTTTTGAATCCTGAATGTGTTGACTATTCCATAGCAAACAATGTTTTATTTTATTTTTTTAAAGATTTTATTTATTTATTTGAGAGAGCAGAGGGAGAAGCAGACCCCATGCTGAGCAAGAAGCCCGATATGGGACTCGATCCCTGGACTCCAGGATCATGACCTGAGCCAAAGGCAGTCGCTTAACCAACTGAGCCACCCAGGCGCCCAGCAAACAATGTTTTAAAATTAAACGTTTTAAATAAAAGATAAGAAGGATTTTTTTTTTTTTTTTATAAGAAAGATTTTAAATGAAGCAGAAAAGATGGGAAAAAGGACCTTCATTTCACTTCAGGGAAATCTCTCCCGAGGCCAAACTGGCAGTTCTCAGAGTGTGGCCCAGGAACCCCTTCTGGGGGACCCACAAGGTCAAAACTAAGGCTCGTTTGCTTTCCCACGCTTGCTCTCACGCCACGGCGGCCAGGACAGGACTCAGCACCCCAGCTGTGTTTGCTCACAGCCGACCCACGGCGGCCTGCAAAGCGGGCAATGCTCCCTTCACTCATTTCTTTTTCGTCTGGGGAGGGAGGTGCAGGGAATGATTTTTTAAAAAATAAAATATGCTACTTATGTGAATATGTAATGGGTTTATGGTTGGCAGCTTTTGATAAATTAATAAGTATTTTTAAATTTCTCAGTTTTACTTTCTAATCCGGTAAAGAGGAACAGAGACAACCCACATATATAAGGGCCCTCTGGTGACCTCATGAACTAAAGATATAAAGGGGTCCTGAGATCAACTCTGAGACCAGGCAGCCTACCCCAGTGATTCTGGAGAAGGGGTGCGGGGACAGGCCAGTGGGCCCACGACTCCCCTGACCCCAGTCTAGGCCTCGGGGGGTGGCAGCTGGGCCCTGGCTGGGAGCTGTGTCCACAGACACGACCAGAGTGGGCCTCGGGCAGGTGTGCAGCAGGCCTGGTAGGGGGTGGGGGGCAGGGCAGAGCGCCCTCACCTTACAGGTAAGGAGACGTGGCACAGAGCCGGGAAGCAGGGGTGAGGCAATGCCCCTGTGCCCGGCCAGGCCGGTGGCTACACCCCCCCCCTTCTCCACTTCCACCTCACCCCTTGGGGCTCAGGCAAGAGGAGGTCCCCAAGCACACCCCCATTTCGCCACCCCCTCTGCTTACACACACCCTCCCTGTCTCTGGGTACCATGTACCTTTCAGGGGCCACAGAGGCTTCCTGCTCCAGGAAGCCCTCCCTGATGTCCTCGTCCACAGGTGTCTCTCAGTTCGTGCACACCCCCGCCCCGGGGCACCTGGGCTGCCACACCGGAGTGTGCATGCACACACCTGCCCACCGTGCCTCTGCAGCCCAGTGCACACGGCCTCTGTGGTTCTCAGGCCTCAGCAGCCCGTCTCCCGACCCCCCACACTTGGAGTGCAGCTCAGCAGGCAAATTGAAGCCTTTTTGGTAACAGGACTGCGTGAGTCCGGAGCACACAGGTCCTGCCTTCCTGGGGAACAGCCTGCCTGAAAATGAGCGGACCGCAGGGTAAGAAGAAGAGAGAGGTGACAGGGAAGGAAACAAACAGAAGAAAAGACACCAGAGACACAGGCCTCCCCCACCCCCGGGCCAGAGCGGCAAAGGCCCCCTGTGCGTCAGCAAGCCTGCGGCGGACCCCTCCTGCTGGGCAGACAAGGCGGCTCCGCACTTGGGGGACTCCCTGGAGGGGAGACGAGGAGGAGTGGGTGACGTCTGCAGAGCGCACTCACAAGCTGCTGGGACGCTCTCCGGAGACCACAGGCATCGCGGGCTGTGGGAAATCAGGCACGCAACGGTCCACCTCACGAACAGTTGCTTGAGAAGAAATGGTTTTAGGACTGAAGGACCCCTCTCTCCACAGGACCCCCTGACAAATGGCTTTGTAAACAGTGACCTTTCCTGGGACCTTTAAGGTTCAGATGGGATGTGCCCTCATCGGCCTCCTGGGCAGTTTTCCGGGGAGAAAGCACCACTCGTAGCAAGAGGCACTGGGACCTTCCTCACTCACTCTCAGGAGGAGGGCCCCACGTGGGAAAACGTCACTCTTCGGCAAAGGCAATTAGAACCCACACCATGCCTTTGCTCTGGCGAGAACAAACGCACAGAACCCGTCAGGCTGTGTGGCTGTGATGCTGAGTGGGGCAGATTTGTGGACAGGCTTTAACCTCCCTCCGCAGAGAACCGCGAGGACACGGTCAGTGTGGGAAGAATCAATACCCAGAAGCGCAAGGATGAAAATCACGGCTCAGAGTCTGAAAAGCCAATGGCCATGCCCACACTAAGTAACAACGCGACTATTGACACACACAGGCCCCGCCATCCACGCCCCAGGCCCCGTCTGTTGACCCAGATTCCAAAAACCAACTTGTCCTGTGCTAGGGATTCTCCCTAAATCTTAATGTCCTGACTTGACCCCACATCTCAGTCTGCTTTGTCCCCATTCCCCGAGACCCTCTCCTGAGGGGCTGCAGGGATGCGAAGCTCCGGGCTGTGGGCACCGCAGGTACCCCCCGGCCAAGCTCACACCCCAGCCCTCCCCCACAGGCCCTCAAGTGAGGCTGCTGTTCCGACCCTGGGCACTCACTTTCCCCCTGGGCCCCCCGTGCACCCAGCCCACTGCTCCTCTTTCGTTCTGGCCACTCGGCACAGCTGATAAGGGGCCTGCACTCGGCAGCAGCTCTGGTCTCCCCATATCAGCGACCCCTGCCCCTCAGACAAACTCACCACTGCACCATGCCCCCACGTCCCCGGCTGACCGCAGGCACTCCTGCCCCAGGTGGGCCCCCACCACTCAGCCAAGCAGACCCCAAAGACCTGGAACCCCCCGAGCGGCCAGAATCAGACCAGTAACCATCCCTTAGAGTCGGGGAGGGAGCCACTCAAAGGGTCCCCTGGGGATGCATCCAGCGGATATCCACACCTTCCGTAAGAGGAATCCTCGGGCGGCCACAACCAAGGAGCAAGATGACCACCCCCACCCCCCAACGGCCACGTTCCTGCCTCCACTTACCAGAGCAGAAAAGGCCCAAGCATCTCAAAGTTTCATCAAAGTTGGACCCAAAAAGGGCCCAATGCCAAATCCTTAATTGACTAAAAAAAACAACGCAACTAATCAGAACACGCCACCTTCTGCATCGAGAAGGGAACGTGTGCGAACAGAGGATCGATACAAACCCACATTCCACGCAAACCTGCCCTCAAAGATGCCACCACCCTGTTTCTGTCCTCATGGAAACACTGCGGGCACGTCACCTAAACCGTGAGACAGACGTTACTCAGCAAGTCCCCCTGATCCAAGGACGGCCCCAGCTCACCACATCATCTCATTCCCACAGGCCGCGGGGCTCCAGGGAACCACCACGCGGTCTCTGCCGCAGCCTGGACCGCACCATGTGTCCACACCTGGCCCGGCTGCCGGCACCCAGCTCTGCGATCCTGCTGGAACCACCTCCCAGCGCTCGTCCCAGCCAAGGGTCTGAAGGTCTGGCCGTGGATTCCCAGGGGAGGGCAGGACGCAAAGAAAGCAAAGAAAGCAGGCGTGGAGACCTGGCTTAACCAGACCGACAGGTTGGCACAGTCGAGAAGGGTGGTTTCCCATCCCGCCCGGGAACAGCAGCTGAGTCCATCCCACAGCCTCGAGATGTTGCAACGTGGAGGCCTTGGGGACGGTGGGAAAGACCCAAGAGGACAACGGCGGCCACCTGTTCGGGCCTGATCCCCAGATTCGAAAAGGAAACAAGATTCCATCAATTGCTTCACTGAGGAGACAGACCGTGGGCAGCCCCCACCAAGCACAGCACACGCACCTAGGCCCGGAGAGGCCCGGCTCCACCACACACAGATGGTCAGAGTCCCTCATCTGTCACACAGGTGACCCCGCAGGAAAGACTGCCTGCATCGGTCCTCCCAGAAACTGCTGGCTCTGGCCTCACTGGGGCCACCTCACCGGTAAGATTCCAAGCCTGGGTCTCTCTTCGGGGAGCTGGGCCCCTCCCCCGCGTCCTCCCCGCCAGTTCAGGGGGAACCTGCAGTTACACAGCCCTGACCGCCCCTCGGAGCGCTGCACCTGCGCACAACGATCCCACCTGCATCCACAAACTGCCTCTGGATAAAGTAGATCCACCTGGTATGGTGCGTCAGCCCTTGGAGCGAGGAGAGCACGGGGTGGCCAGCCCCTCTCTCCAGGACAGCAGGCTCGTGCTGACCCGCTTCGAGGACCCTCACTGGCTCCCTGGGAGAGCCCATCAAGGGGGCAGAGGAAGGAAGAGCGCCACCTGTAAGGACAGGAGAGCCGGAGGACCCAGCTCGCCGCTGGCTGTGGACGTCATCCACCGCCCCCGCCCCCGTGGGACAGGGAGGCACCTGCCTGCGGAGCACGGCTCGAAGGTTCCCGCGCACTTGCTTCTCGGACTCGCTGATCCTTGATGACTTATTGGACCGTCACTGGAGCATCGTGGGCTGTGGGGTGGGCACAGGGAGGGTGCAGGGGTGTCAAGGCAGGAAAGGGGTCCCCTGGGGGCCGACCCTGGCTGAGGGCTGAGCTGCCTGACGGGAGCCTGTTTTCCTCTCAAGGTTCTCCACTCGGGCACCCCAGCGCCTCCAGCGCAGCCAGACGTCAGGGGCACGGCCGCACTTGCCCAGAGCACAACCAGCTCCTCCCCGGGGCTACAAGACGAGGGTCCCCAGGGTGCGAAACCCCTTAATAGAGGCAGACTCACAGCCCGGGACACCGAGGTCAGAAGGGGCATCCCCCTCCAAGGTGACCGCATGAAACCCGGTCCCAGTGGCCAGCTTCTCCCACATTGCCTCTGCGCTTGTTCCGGAAACCCAAGGCGCTCAGTTCCCCCCTGCACCTCACTTCCCAGGAAGCTGCCAATACCCTGCATGAGGCTATGGGCCGCAGGCACCTTCTTCTGGGCCTGGTCTGCGGGCTGCAGGCTGGAAGTGGGTGCAGAACCCCCTTCCCTCGATGCTTCGCCTCATGGCGGCCCCCTCCAGGCCCCAGGGCTCCCTGTGCTGCCCCTCGCACACCCTCCGGGGTCACGGGGTGGGCTCCGACCTTCCCCTCCACTCCAGGGCGGCCCCAGCCTCCATCCACCTCCAGTCCCGACCTGCTCCCAGCCTCAGGTGCCCCTCTCCCATCCTGGGCCACTTCCACACTTGAGACTTCTGGAAACACCTGCCGTCCCTGGGGCTCACCCCGCGGAGGTTCCTCACCACCCACCTCCCTCACCCCAGCTCCGCTCGGCCCCACCCTCCGCGCACACCTGTGTGCTTTCATGCCTGCCCTGGCTTAGAAGGCTCGGTATCGGGGCGCCTGGGTGGCTCAGTTGGTTAAGCATCTGCCTTCGGCTCAGGTCATGATCCCAGAGTCCTGGGATCGAGCCCCACATCGGGCTCCTGGCTCAGCGAGGAGCCTGCTTCTCCCTCCCCCTCTGCCTTTCTCCCTGCTCATGCTCTCTCTCTGTCTCTATATCTCTGTGTCTCAAATGAATAAATAAAATCTTTAAAAAAAAAAAAGAAGGCTCGGTATCACCTCCCTACCTCCCACCCTCTCGGTCCACCCAGACCACTTCTACCAGTCCTTCCAGATCCAATCACACAAAGAGGGGCAGGGAGGAGGGATGCTCCGGGCCCTACGGATGCCCACAGTGTGGCGTCAGCCCGAGAGAGGCCCACGCCAGGAAACGAGGAACGCCGTGCAAGGAGCTGGCGATCGAGGTTGGCAGAACACTGGTGACGCGGGATCATCATCAAGGTCCCGGCTTCCGTCCTGCCGCAAGTTCGAGGGCGCCTAGGACGTTGGAAAGAACGGAGTAAACAGACAGGGTCCTGCACGAGCGCTGACCGCAGCACCCGTGACTCGAGGACGGGGCCTTCTCCGGGACCACACGCCTGAAGCCAGAGCAAGAAAAAGACTCGGCCCATGAGTCTCCCCTCTTAGAAGTCTCCCCCAGCCCCACGCACGCTGCCACGGACACTCGGTCCCACACCTGCCTCCCTACCAAAGGGCGCACCACCAAGAGGGCGCTGCTGGTACCAATCCCCCTCCTCATCCCAACGCCTCACCCCAAGCCTGCCACAGCCAGGAGCACCTGCTGGCAAGCCTCCGGCTTCAACTGAGGTTTAGGGGGAAAAGCGGGGCCGGTGGGAAGCCAGCCACGGTTCAGCAGCCAGAATTCACAAAGACTCCGGAAACATTCCCGTCAAGTTTACCTTCCTGCGGCTGGGAAACGAGAGGGTCTGCAAATGGGACAAGCGGCAACAAGGCCTCCCGGTTACTGACGCAGACGCGCGGTTTTCAAGCCTTTGAGAGAACAGTGTAGATGAAATCAATTCCTTTTGTGTTTTTGTTAAAATGGCTTCTGTTTTTTACAAAACCTACACGGGAAGGATTCTCATCTAGGTTACGCTAGTGCACAAAAATAATCACGGAGTAGGATTTATATCTCCTAATTATACAGAATTTAGGACAAAATACTCGTGTAAGTGATTCTGAAATACTTTATAAATAGGTCACACTAGGCTCTTTGATTGCCAGGATGCCTGCAGCTCACGCAGCAGAGCCCAGCCTCCACGCACAAAGGGACCAGCCGCAGCAGGGGGTCCCCACACACGGGAGGCTCTCGGGATGGAAATCCTGCCTCGGATTCGGGCATCCTGCAGGTGTGCCAGATGTGATCCCACCCCAGCCCCATCCGATCACAATCGGAATGGGAAAAAGATGCGGAGAGACCAGGAACCTGGTTGTGAGGGAGAGCAAGGGAGAAGGGAGGCCGCGGCTGAGCTTTCCTGCGAGGACTCGGTGCCGACACTCAGCAAGCTATGTTCCCTCACACGGTTAAGCAATTATTTAAAAAGACACACACCTGGGGCGCCTGGGTGGCTCAGTCATTAAGCGGCTGCCTTGGGCTCAGGTCATGGTCCCAGGGTCCTGGGATCGAGCCCCGCATCGGGCTCCCTGCTCCGCGGGAAGCCTGCTTCTCCCTCTCCCACTCCCCCGGCTTGTGTTCCCTCTCTCGCTGTCTCTCTCTCTCTCTCTGTCAAATAAATAAATAAAATCTTTAAAAAAAAAAAAAAGACACACACCTGCCTAACTTAAAAGAAGGAAGCTGATCTGTCATGTGAGTCAGCTGGTGGGGGGGCCGCGGTCCCAGTGCACTGCCCGATCCGGCCCGGGGAGGATGGACTCGGGTGACAGGCATCACCTCCTCAAATATGCCCAAATGCCCTCGGCCAAGTGACGGGGACGCTCCCTGCCCGCCTGGGGGGCCTGCAGCTATGGGCAATGGCACCTGATTACTTCCCATCCCTCCGTGGCCCAGGGCTAAGTGTACAGTGCAGGGGGGCGGGACACAGACCTTTCTGGGGCGTGGAACCTGGGTCAAAGGTACAACTCTGGCAGCATGAGCCTCCTCCAGATTGGGTAAATGTTGGTAAACCAACAGTCCGTTTTCTGATACAGTGGCGAGGTTAATTTTTTTAGGTCTGGGATCAGAGAACGTTAAGACAGAGCGGGATTTCGCAGTCACCTGCTGGGAAGAGGGAGGACACAGTTACCTGCCTCGTGGCCTGTGGGTTCTGGGCACCTGGCTCCCTTTCTGGGACCCGCACCTTCTCCAGCCGTGTCTCTAAACTAGAAACCTCAGCTCCTGTCCTCAGACAGACACTGCGGGCTCCCCCTCCCAACCTTCAGACCCAGCCCTGCCGGGCCCTGGCCCCCTCTCCTGTGCGGTTGGCCTACATGTGGTTCCAGCCCGGGCTTCCCCTCCTCCCCTCACCCTGCCAACCCACACGAGCGACCAGCAGACACTCACCGCCCCAGCATCCACAGCAGCAGCCTCAGGCCTGGGTCACACACTCACACACACACACACACACACACTCGTACGGCACCACCTCCTCGGACGGGCACCCCCACCACCCCCAGCACCTCCTCAGCTCTCTGCCAGAAGACAAGGTGGCCTGCAGCGCCTGGGGGACACACAGCCAGCAGACAGAAAGGCCTGGACTCGGGGCTGCACCGGCCACACTCCGGGCCCAAGGCCTGTTCGGGCCACCATGGCTAACGTAGACATGCGGGGCCCTGGTTGACGGTGGCCTCTGGAATCACCCAGCCTCACATCTCTCTGGCTGTGTGATCTTTTCTGAGACACCTCACCTCTCTGCGCCAGGCTCACCAGCTCTCCCACGGGGCCACCATCGATGGAGGCCATGGGTATGAAGCCTGGGCCACCCAGGGAGCCTCCAGGATCACGGTTCCCATCATCAGGCGGCATTTCTGTGTGAGCCTTCCTGCTGTTCTTTCCTTTATGGTTCCTGCCCCACCCCCAGCGAGGTCCTGACCCTCTCAGTAGGTTGTGACAGGCTCCGGGGGGAGGGGCAGCCCACATCACGGAGGCCTCCCTGGCCCCGCCCCACCACGCCTCTGCTCCAGGCACCGCCCACTGGGCTGCCTTAGCCTGCAGAGGGCAGAGCACGAGGGCGCCAGACCCCGGGCAGCACCCTCCTGCAGGTGGCCCCTGCGCCCCGCCGCCAGGCTCTGAGGGGCAGACAGCAAGGGCAGGTCACCGCAGAGAGCACCAGCGTCGGGCCCCTTGCCGCTCCAGCTCTCACCGGACACGTGCGGCAGGCACCTGCCAGAGCCTGCCGTCAGTCCCGCGGGAGAGACCACCCCCTCCCATCGAGTGCCAGGCGGTGGGGGGGGGCCCGGTGGGGGCTGGCTAGGTGGGTCAGGGAAGAATCTGACACCCGAGCCTCCCTGAGAAGGCTGGGGAGGTGGGGGGAGGCCCGAGGTCCCTGCAGAGCGAGGGGGGCCTTCGTGCACACATGCACGAAGGGGGCGAGTCACCCCAGAAGCAGAATTTGGGGTCCACATGAGGCCCATAAGTGGGTAGCAAAGAGGACAACTTCAGCCCTGTAAAACCCCTAAGTGGACACAAAAGGTGTGGTGGGTGGGACACAGACAAGGGCACAGACCCTGGGGGCGGCAGAGGGGCTTACCCACTTACAGGACCTCCCCAACCCCCACTGAACTCATCTGCAAAGTGGGGACAATGAAGCCCCTCCCAGCTTTGTTGTGGGGGGTGACACCCACCTGCTCACCCTCCCCTGGGGGACCCTCGGGCAGCCCTCCCCAGGCCCCCCACCCCCCGTTCAGACCAGCCCCCAAGCATGCCGTCCATGCTTGGGCCACGTGAGGTGGGGTCCCCAGCATCCAAGGCTCCCTTCCCTAAGAGGCCTTCCCAGAGACGACAGCGACCCTGCGGGGGGCGGGGGAGCCCAAGGACTCCGGAACCAGGGCTGCAGCTCCAGAAGGATTCCTCCCTGGAGCACTCCTCACTCATGGAACACCCGTGTGCACTAATGCAGCACCTACTGTGTACCCAGCCCCCGCCCAGCTCGACAGCCCCCGCGGTCCCTGCCCTGGGTCAGCAGGAGCTCTGCTTTAGAGGACAGGCTCAGTCGGCAGAGCCACGCCTCCTAGCGAAGCCATGATCCGGGGAAAGACTTCAGCACCAGCTGGGCCTGGGCCACATCTAGGCTCTGCCCCGTCTGTCCCCTACGTCTTGGGATGAGAGAGGCCCAGCCCGTGTGACAGTGGTGTGGGGCTCAGGAGCCTGACGGAAGACCCCAGGGAGAGCAAAGGGCCACTTTAAGAACTCCAGCCACCTGCTTCCCCACCGGGGGGAGCATCTGAGGACTCTCCACTCCCCCAATGCAGCAGGGAGCTATGTGGCTATGGAAGACCCGGGATGGAGCTTTTCAAAGATGAGAAACTGGCTGGTGAGAGGCCATGGCTCCCCTTTCCTGGGCTCCATGTGGCCTGGCCCACCCCGCAGACACCGGCATGAATCCCAGTTCTCCCAAGAACCAGTCGGGCTGCCTCACACAAACACGAGCAGACCTCAACATCCAGGCGGCCCACCACCTCCCTTCTGGACGCTGTGCCTTCCACGCACACCGGGGAGATGCCCAGCGGTCCCTCGTGCTCCCCCTGTCAGATGGGGGTGGTGATGCCAGGCAGTCCTGAGAATTCCACCCCCCTTCTGTGCTTGCCCTGGTCAGGTTCTTGGGACTGATCTCCCAGAGCCCCCCCCCCCCGCCCCAGCGATGGTGCTAAGTGTGGCTGAGAGCCGCCTGTGCCCCTCCTGACCGGCACGGACGCCTTGCCTCTATGCTCTCCCAGCAGGGGCTCGACCTTGGGACACAGGCGGGCAGGGCAGGACACAGGCAGCAGGAGCAGGATGGCCCCTCCAGCCTTGCCTCCCTCCCAGTCCTCACTCCAATCCCGCCAGGAGCTCCGCCCAGCCTGGATGCCCAGGGCTTTCTGGTGGTTGACTCACAGCTCACTTCCTCTCCCCCAAACATGCTCAGTAGCCACCGAGTCACTTATCTGCAGCCCCCACTGTGTGGCAGGCTGGGCTCCAGGGACCAGCGAATCCCACGCTTCGGGTCTGCCTTCTGATCCAGCACCTGTGGGTCCCTGCCGCTATCCCTCCTCCTCCACCAACCCGCTCACCGCCCCTTGCACGCGCACGCACGCGTACACACTCAGATGCTTACACCTTATTTTAATTTCCTCATGGACCACTTCTGACGTGATTCACACATCCCCCTGCATTCTTACGCACTGGCTGTTGAACAAACTACTCCTTTTCCTTCTGATCCCGCTATACGCTCAACCCACCTGGCAGGACGGGCAGGGCCTGGCACGCACCGCTGCGCCCCGCCCCCATGCAGCAGGCCACACACTTTCCTCTCTGGAACGACCTAGAAAGGGGCTACAGCACAGGACCCGAGGCCAGCCCAGGACCCCCAGGACACGCGCAGAGGGGCCTTGAAGGGGTGCACAGCACGGCCTCAACCCCCTGCAGCCAGTGGGCAGCATTGCTCGGGACAGCTGGGCACCCCTCCGCCCACCCACACGGGAGCCTCAGTGTTCTGCTTCTGGGATGCAGGGCCTGAGGTGGTTCACGCCCCTCGCTGCCACAGCGCATGCCCATCGGCGTGTGGATTTGGGGGGAACCCTGTGGGTGGTTCGTTAGCCTGGTTCTTCTAAGAGTGAGAGTCTGAGTTCGGTGATATGAAAGGTTTGTGTTTCTCACTATTCAAGTTGCTTCGGCATCTTTTTTTTTTTTTCTTTTTTTAAAGATTTTATTTATTTATTTGACAGAGAGAGACACAGCGAGAGAGGAACACAAGCAGGGGGAGTGAAAGAGGGAGAAGCAGGCTTCCTGACGAGCAGGGAGCCCGATACGGGGCTCGATCCCAGGACCCTGAGATCATGACCTGGGCCGAAGGCAGGCGCTTAACGACTGAGCCACCCAGGCGCCCCTCAAGTTGCTTCGGCATCTTAAATGCCAAACTCGCCGACCGGGGGCCGACGCTGACCCGCATCCTCCGGTCTCTGCCACGGAGCCCCCTCGGAGCGGGGGAGCCCTCCGCTCCCGTCCCCTCTGCTGTGGGCAGGAGGACCACGGCCAGGCCGGCCTTCACTGGTCCCGCCACGCTCACCCTGGTGGTGCAGCTCAGGCTCCGCTCCAGGCAGACAGACACCGCCCCAGACCGCGGTCACCAGGCAGCCACGCCGGGCAGCCGTGACCGCCAAGCGATTCCAGTCACCCCAGAGCTCTGCCACCGTCGCCAGGCCAGCAGCACCCCCAAAGCCGCCTGTCGCACGGGACCTAGCAGACCCAAAATCTCAACCCGGAAAGAAGGGGTGATGCAGGCGCAGCACAGCAAGGTCCTGGGATGGGGGCACCCAGTGGGGGAGCCAGGCGAGCAGGCAACCAGGCGGCAGATGGTGGCACGCTGGTCCCCCATCAGGTCCCAAGAACCTCACTCTCAGGAAGGGCCACTCAGGGACAACAGCACCCCCAGCCCCACAGAGCCCCTGCTCACTGAGCCCCCGGCCTGTTCCACCAGCTTCCTCAGCCCTCGCCCCACGGGGCCACAGCGGGGACACAAGAGCTCTGAGGAGGCCCAGCCGGGGGGCACAGGCAGCCAGCCCCACAGCCCACGGCACCCCGACAGGCGGGGACATGGCAGGGGTGCAGGCACACACCGGCTGGGTCCCCAGGAGCCTCGCACAGGAGCGGACCTTCGGGAAGCTGACCCCGCAGACGCCCACGCCACCAGAGCCGGTCCAGGGGAGGGCAGAGTGGTGGCCGGAGGCCTAGTCCGGCCTGCTGCCCCTCCTTACTCCTCCTCGGGCTAAGCCCCCTGAGTCCCGCCAAATGGGCTCCTGTGGTCTCTTCTCTCGCCCCTCCGGGGGTCCTCCCTGACCCCCAGGCAGTGCCGGCTGCTCTGTCCCACAGCCCCCACCTCTGTCGTCCCTCCTGCCTGGCCTGGTCCCCCTCCCACCATGCGCTCCATTCATCAGGCCCTGCTGCCCGGTGCCCGGCACAGAGCAGGTCCTCATCAACCAGGTGAGAAGACAGACGGGGCTCCCAGCACCCACACAGAGACCAGACGCAGGCTGGGCGGGTGGGCTGGAGCCCCCCCTGGCCCCTCGGCGGGAGCTCACCCAGGAGCAAGGAAACAAGACCAGCTCCTCTCAGAGCCAGACCCCGCTGCATGGGAAAGAGCACAGTGACGGTGCAGACAGGATGGTGGGCACGGCACTCCCACCCAACTGTGCTCACTCCAAGCAACGGTCCTCGTCGGTGCCCAACTCACCCGCTGTCCTTCCCACCGTCCTGCCCCACTTTCCCTCAGCAGGGACAGCTGCTGTGCCAGTCTCCTTCCGAGCCTGCCCAGCTGTCTGCTCCCCTTTTCAGAAACCTCCCCCCCAACCCGTGGCTGCGCTCGGACCTCCCCAGCCCAGGGACCCCAGTGCCGACCCCTGCCCAGCCCCTCGGGCCTACAGACCGTGTGCAGGCCCCCAACTTAGGGGCACCTTCTCTGCCTCCCAGCCTCCCGCCTGGCTCTGAAGCCTCCAGCGGAAGCCCTTCTCCCTGCCAACAGGACCCACACGTGCCGCAGACAGACCCCACACGGAAATGGAAGCCGACACACAACCTTGCTTCTCTCCTTTCCAGAAAGGAAACTGGTCTCAGGGCACGGCTGCTGTTCCACAGAGCCGCGTGCAGACCTGTGCTCTCCTTTCAAGGGCTACCCCCTGCTCAGGTGTGAGGTCAGAGGTGGGGAGAAGCCAGGCCCCACCAGGATCGTAGTCCAAGGTGCATCCAAAGAGTCTGCTCGCAGTCTTTCTCCTCATGCTGCTGAGGCCAGACCTCTGGGGCGTGTTCAAAGTCAGCCCCGCTTTCACATTTCAAAGGGATGCCAAGTCTGTGCCCATCCCCACGGGGCTGGC